AACAGTAGTCTTCAACAAAATTAAGTGATCCTTCACTCTCAAGTTTGAGCCAGATCTTCAACTCTCAATGTCCTTGAATTTCTCATGCTAAGCACAGAGACTTAAATCCTTGAAACTCAAGTTTGGAGCGGAGGTGCTTTGTTTCCCGCAAAATTTCTTCTGACATTCTAGAAGGAGTACAGAAACGTGTAAACAAAAGAAAAATGAAATGGATTTATCAGCGTTAGTCACATTGTAACATTGCTCCTCCTGTGAAATCAGTAGAACTCAGGGGGAGTTGTATGAACAAAAGGTGGTCTTCGGTATGAGTCTGAAAATAAGTATAAGGGAAGGACGAAAAGCAAAAGCCGAGATACGTGCGAGAGCAAGAACTACTGTTCCGAAACTTGCACTAACCCAGGATTTCCAGTATTGGGAATCTTCTGATAAGGTACTTTTGCGACGCGTGTGATAGCCCATAGAAGTTTTCCAGGACTCTAAAGCATTAATGGAACAAAAGTGATGAAGAAAATGATTGGGTGCAAAGCACTTACATATAAGCTTCTTGGTGTGGTCCAATTTCTTCACGTCTCACATTTTGAGCGGTACGCCACAGCTAAGAAAGAGCGTAAATTTCTTTTATTTGTCGCACCTGCGAGGCAATACTTACAACTTCAAGGAAGCGTGCAGCGTCCCGGTCCTCGTCTTCAATTTTCCTGTAGATTCTTCTCAATGCCACCATTCTTGTATACAGCGAAGGATTAGATCTCTTCAGTTCTTTGCTCACATGCAGCTAAACAAATCTAGCAAAACTCCATCAAGCTTTGCTGGACAAGTTTCTCTATAATATTTTGTTTGTGCTCACATGCAACACATCAATAAATTTCTGGCCTTTTGCGCCCCTAGGGGCCGTGACGAAAAGCAGAGTAATTTTGCCGTGACCTCACGCGACTCCCCTGCACTCTCTCTGTCTCGCACGGAGCGTTTCTCTCTCGCACGGAGCCTTCTGTCAAGTCGCCTTCTTTATAGGGCATTTTGGGGTTGCTCCACGATGGGTCCGACCGCCGCTACAATTACTGAGTATCAGTTCTTGCACAGAAAATGAATTTTGAGCCACATCCTGGCCTGATCGACAGTCTAGCGCTTTACCTCCCCGTTTAGCCGCCCGGCCAAACCGTCCTTCCTCGTAGCTGCTGCTGTGAAAGCTCAGTTCTGCTCCCCACATTCTTCGCCCAGTACGCCATCTACCGCAGTGTTCGTACAGGTATCACGTCGTCATGAGAATCAAAGTATACCGCCACATCAAAAAACAGTGTTTTTTTTGTAACCCCGTCACCCTTTTCCTGTCCTGTATTGATCATGTAACAACCTTTTCTGTCGTGCTTCACAATACAGATGATGAAATCTCAGAGACTCTGCTTCGTCTGATCTCATGGTGCTCACAAGGGAGGTCGTTCAGGCCGTGGTGAGCTTTTTCAAAACGATTTGTTGCATGTTGTAGGGGTCCATACAAGGACCACACAGATGGGTTTCATTTTTGCTAAACGCTATTGGGAATGTCAAAAAAGGAATAAAAACAAATCGCTTAAAATACGCAAGTTTTATCATCTCATTCGCATCTGTTTCAGCTGTAAAGCAGAATACATAGAGTTTATAAAGTGTTTCTCAACTAGACATGAAAAAGAACATTGAATAATGTCGAAATACAGGTGCCTTTTGGCAAATTACAGTGAACTTACATGCCAATTTTCTTTAGGGGCTTATGCAGCATCCCTTCGCGCTCGCAGTGGCCTTTTAGCGCCACGCTGGCCCAGATCACGCCGGCGCCATAAATAATTGTCAGAATCGTGATCAGGGCCATTGATTACCCCTGTTTGAGAGGTTTCAGCGAAAAAATTTTTTCGAGTTTCTTTAGTGGTCATGGACCTGACCCCTTGGATGGCAGTGACAAGGCGAACCCTCCGTTAAGTATTCCCTCTGTTTCTGGCAGACGAACCGCCAGAAATTTTTCATTTCTTGCCCCTCAACTTCAGTAGGTCTTCATAGAACATCTTGCTAGCTTCGGAGCCACTAAACGAGCATCCTGGATCTTTCTTCACTTTTACCGTCTATGCTTTCGAGAAAGAACTCGTTACCACTTGCCCGAAGAAGGTTTTTGTTTCTCATATCAAAGGTATGAGAGGAGTGCAGTGTATGTGCGTCACCTTTTTGTGTAGTTTTTAATTCTGCGTCTGCATACTAGCAAATGAAAAGCTTCCTCTTAACGATGTTGGATAACGACTCCTTGGGGGGGGGGGGGGGGGGGGCTGATAGCCACTTGTGCGCCGCAACATAACACAAAAGCTCGGGAAATTTTTTTTGGCACCGTATACTCTATACGTAGGGTAATGAGTCCCTGATTACCGGTTCTGGATGCTTATTTCTTGCGCGGAGGCATCTGGGCCAGTACGCGGCGCTAAATAGCCCCGCCGCGCAGACTGACAATGATGTAGTACGAGAAAGCCTTTGCACCAAATTGGCGACACATTGCGCCATATTCAAAAATGAGTGTCGTGTTCATGATCAGAGCATCGGATAACCGCCGTAACCCAAGTTTTATGAAGAGTTTTTTCAATATTTCGAGACGCAATAATTGAGTGAGGCCTATTTGTGAACAGTTCCCGCATGGACTGTGCCTTCAAATGGCGTATATCCGGGTCATACACATTATGGGGCATACAGGAATACAAGAGCAAAGAAACTGGTGAAAAATATGCCAATAAACTAGTGTCGGCGAGTGGGACGCCGATCCACAAACCCACCGTTCGAGAGCCCGCCGCACTATCCGCCACACCATACGCTAGCGATACAGGCAGGGTACAGCATGGGGATGTGTCAAATGGCGGTGTGGGTACGACCCCCCCCTCGAAGAGGGTCCAGACACGACCCCCCTCCTGCTCTAACTGACAACCAGATGCATGTTCACCACAAATGACTTCCTGAAATGGAATCTGGATTCTCGAAAGGCGCACTCTGCTCTAAAATACAGGAAATAAAAGGCTGTTTCAGCCTCATGCAATATGAGGCTGAACAACAGCCATTACCTACAATTTTGTCTTAGGATTCAAAATAAAACTCCTCGTTCGATAACTATGTATGGACAATGCAATTGTAACATGAAAGCACAATTGAAATAGCGGCGATGGTGATCATTTGATAGGCTGAATTGGTGAAAAAAAATAGCCCCAAGGTGAGCGTGTCAGGGCCCAGATGTGCATTCAATGAATGGTGACGGGGAAATAATGAAAACATGCACGACACAACAAAGCGAAACATGGAAAATACAAAAAATGCAGAGCTAAATGAAAAAAGGATAACCAGGCCGGCAGTAAATCGTTCCATACTTGGCTATTATCGATCAGGCTGCAGGGCGCAAGGGCTGTACCGCTTTCATTCTGGAAAAAACGTCATTGGAGCCCGGTTGTTTAGGACTGTTTCCAACGTCTAGGGTCAGTTCGCGGGGGGGGTATATATTTTTTTTAGGTGCGGAGCTTTTGAGGAATGGTGAGCAGCATGCAACGGCGAAGTTTCTACTGTTGTGTATTCTACCTAGTTGCAAACTGAACAATCATCCCGTTGGTGAAATATTCCGGATGGGTTTTGGATAGGCTAGGGGTAAATCGCGAGCTGTTTCCATGCTTCACGTGAGGATTGCTTCGTTCAGACGCAATTTCATCAGGATTAAAAACGTCCTGAACCCCTCCATCCTTTCTCTTTCCAACAAGCTCCACGGTTTTTCTGAAGACCCACTAGTTCAGGAGATATTTTAGATGGGTTACCCTTGCGCTACCCCCTGGACCACCCGAAAAATTGACTCCTTATGTGCCATTGTGAGGATACACCTTTCAGTGTGCCTCCAAAATACATATTTCCCTTCAAATGAGTGGAAGAGGAGCTCGGCTATCACTAATCGGTTTGGTCCGTGCGCCGTGCATTAGGCTCCTACGGAGAGGTGGTGGAAAGGTGTAAATTCTAATTTCAGGTGCTTTTATCCATGCAAGCAGATGTTTGTTTAGGGTTTGTAAAGGACAACACGCACGAATCTGTTTGAGACGTATTATTAGTCATCTACGTACTTACGAGTTCATGCTATAAACTGACACTTATTTATTTTTATTTATTCTTGCTATATTGCTAATAAATCTTTTATTATTTTGTATTCCTATTTACATCCGGGTCTTCTGAAGCTTTCCGTCCGTTCCATTACCCTTAGCAATGACACCTTTGTACTGTTTGATGCCTAGCGAGCCTACTTTTGCGATACTCCCCACGTCCCCCGCGGCCAAGTACGAACCATTCTGGGGATTTACCATGAAAAGAGGGCTGTTAAACGTAGCATTTAAAGCTGTAAATGTAATTTAAAGCTGTGAGTACACTCATAATAAACTTCATTTTTTTTAACATCTTGACTTCCATAGCTCCGCTCCACTATCAACTGAAATGTCGAAGCATTGCTCGGCTCTGAGTGACCCTTGAGATTACGACCCCCCCCCCCTCCCCAGCGGCCAAGTACGACCCCCACCCCTATGGGTTTCGCACAACGATGCTGTTCCCTGGATACAGGACCTGTTGAAGAGTGCGCAGATGACCGGAAAACTCCAATGCAGCTCGACGTATGCCAAGTATACCATTTGGATTATATTGCTTCTATTTTGTCGCTGATTTTCTTCACGCCCCTGCCTCAAGTAATACCTACATACTATACTGTCAACGCTACAGCTAGAATAGAGGGGAATAAGTGTGTTTTAAAAAGCCCATTCTTTTCGAAATGTTTTTGACCTTTTTTGACATTCCCAAAACCGTTTAGCAAAAATGAAAACTTCCATGACACTGGTGCCGTCCTCGCATGGACGCCTACAACATGCAACAAACCGTTTTTAAAAAGCTCACCACGGCCTGAACGACCTCCCTTGTCAGATCCCTTCAAATCATATTGCCCGCGAACCAGAGTTATGAATACCCGGCCGTCTTCAGCGCCTAACTTTTTGGCTCTTCGCTTTTCGGCTCTGATCCACTCCTCGTCCCTGGTCCTAATATTTTGCTGGTCGGCTATCATCGCTTATCCTCTCTCTATACGATGCCAGGACTCGTCCTCTGCTGCAGCCATCCTATTCACAGTTTTTCTTCTATACCTCGATTATTATGAGCTTCACTTCTAATGCCTTCCGGTGCATTCATAGTGTTCATTCTACTTGGTTAAATTTTTGATGAAACTTTCCCTATAAAGTTGATGGTACCATACTTTGTCCAAGGCGTATTTTGTTAGGTGGGTTCCTGTCTCCGGTCGAAGCCACTGCGGAGCAAGAGAAACCACACTATCTCCTTAGCAACTACGGTGGCACGGACTCCCCGTCATGAGCAAGTTCGTAGAACGATCCCAGTAATATCGATTCCCATACCTTTTGACTTCCAATTATAAGTAATAAGTATTGACTGACAGAGGGTGCAAGGCAAAACGCATTCAGATATGAGCGTAATATGTGTCAGCACGTTAACTGTTTATCACAAGCAAGGTATTTGTATTAACCGGGCAACATTTAGTTAGCTGGTTCGTTGTGTGGGGCAACAGGACCGCTTTGTAGCCTACCTACTGCCAAGGCAAAACCCCGAGTAGCGCTGCTAAGCCCTTAGCATCACCCCTTCCAGAACCGTTCCGCGGTTGGGCTTCGGCAAGAGCCATCAGTGCACAAGTGCCCCGATCCTATCCGAGGTACGACAAACCAAGAAAAAACCTTTTCTAGGATCTGAACTTGTACATTAGTTCGCAGAGCTCCTTACTCTTTCGAGTGGATCCCATTCACGTCTCCACAATGAGTGGTGAAGGAGCTGTGTTCGTTTCAAGATGGAGATAATTCAAATGTAGTACATGTTGCTACGGCCAGATTTCTTCAACGCACGACGGCCGCAGCTCCTTTTTTACTCATCGCAGAGTCGCGGAAGGTTTCGTCATACTTTAAAGTTCTGTTTCCAGCCATTGTTGCGGGTCAATCTTTACCTCGCGTCTACCCAGTGCAGGGTTCTTACGAGTTCGTTTGGTTGTTATCAAGCTCATATTTCGTAAAATGTTAAATGACACTAATACTGCCACAGCTAATGCAAGTGGAAGCAGAATGTGCTACGAATGCCACAAATGGTTCCTGCGATATTGAACTTCTTATCCTAACGTTACCTGCTGGTTTTCCCCATTGAGTACTGATATAATCTACCCGAACTACCGTGAGCCTCGGCGTCATACGTATTCTTCAGGAAATAGCCAATAAGAACTTGACACATATTCCTCTTGATTATCTTCTGAGATAGGTCACTTTGCTTCCCACACATACGTCATCCTACACTAATAATTTGCCTGCAGTTCGAACTGTTTTTGTCGAAATTAGTACAACTAGGGCAGCACACATGATTACACATGGTGACTGGATAGATACACGCCATCGGGAATGCTGTGGGAGTGCCTATATGTGGAGCAGTCCCCAGTACCAGCATGTAGAACGAGTTGACCTGCGAGGTGCTAAAGTCGACAAGCAGCCATGTCAGGATGCCAAGGTGAGATGGCAACGCTGTGCGTCGACTTTATATTCAAAGTCAACCAGCAATGGTTGTTGGGTATACGCTCCACACCCTGGCTTACCTGATTCTCTACTCTATTTCTGAAAACGAGAATAGATAGGTAAAAAACAGCGCTTGGTTTCAAAATCCTCACATGTAATACAATCCACATCCTGGTGGCGGGTAGGGCGCGGGTGTGGCAGTTCATTTGTATGTGCATTTGAAGGTGAATATAATCATGCATTTGTTAGGCGCAAGACAGGATGAGCTGTATCGAATAAAAATATACCGCGAAATGCCATGTCAGTGAAGTTTTAAGCAACCTTCTCCAAATCTCAGGGATAAAAGGCGCACGTGTATCCTCCTGGTATACATCTAAGAAACGGAAACTTATTCGAATTTTAGCAGTTAGAGTTTCTTCGGTTGAAGATGGTGGCTGTGTATGAGATATTTGGAAATTTCGAAAGAGTAAGCCATACCTTGTCAATTTCTCCGCTAGCGGAGATAAACTGCTGTGTGAGATTATCCATGTATTCGCTATCCTCTCTGCTTATGTCGAAAAGTGCGTTGAGCAGGTAGTTGGTGTCAACTGAGAACAAAGCTGCGTCATTTGCGTGGGCGCTTCACTTTGACGGCACGTACCTGTTCGGTGACAACTCACGCTAGTGGTAGTCAGTGTTAGGAGCAGCAACCATCCGACAAGCTTAAGCATCATGGAAAAT